CCCCCCCATATAGTGCAAAGGGGATGGATTCCTCCAAGTGCCCAGGAAAGAGCCCACAGGAGGATTTGGTGGCTGAGGAAGCGTTACCTGTTTTGGAAGGCTTGCCTCGGGCGCCGAGACCTGTGGAGGAGGAAAGAGATAGCAAGTTAGGCAGAAAGCTAGGCAGAGAGATTGTGTGCTTTGCACTCAACAAAGGTTTTGTACAACAACAATCTGAATTCTGTGCCTTATCTATATAATGCAAATCACACACATTTGCATATTTATACTTGTTTCGCGTGATTTTCCTCCTGGCAGTCAGGAGGAGGAATAAAGTTTTATGCAGGGTATTTTCCGGTGACCACTGAAAATCCTATTGAGTCCCCTTCTGGCTTTCAAGTGTTCACTAGACACTGCCCTCATGTGATCAAGATCACATCCACCTTAAGGTGTAGAAACGTACTTTGTTTTCATTTTTTTTTTAAAGTTTAAGATTTCTCAGAGTGATGAATTCTGAGTGGAACCTCAGGAGATACCCCGAGCCTTCTAAATTTTTAATGGTGCAACGGCTGCCACATCAAACGACAAAGTACACTTGAAAGAGCTGCCCAAAAGTTCACTGGACCTAAGTAAAGGCATCAAAATCGCTATACCATTAAAGCAAACAAGCCCTCAAGCGAAGGCAGACTCTTTCCTAATGTCCTGGAAGCTGGATGTCATCACGCTTCACTTCTTGGCTCTTCAGATGACTGCAGACAGCTAGATGACTTCAGGAGGTTAAAATAACAGAAAGGGCCTAATGCCTTTGCCAAGAAAGGTAGTGAGGTCACACACCAGGCAACTGGGTTTATACAAAGACGTCAAGAGGGAAAGAAAAGGGAGTGTGAAGCAAGATTGATTTGACCCCCAGAACATGGAGGGAGATAGAACATTTATTTATTGCTAGTATTTATATCCTGCTTTTCGACTGTTCAGCTCTTACAAGACGGCTTCCAAATCAAAGTTGTTTTCAATCTCACCAGCAGGGGCAAGGGTCCATGTGCACAATAGAAGGAGACTCCCTCTTCTAATACAATACCTGGCATCTACATCAAAGGGCCCTGCCAAAGGGCCTAGACCCTTTGGCACCATCCCAGCAGTGGCAGCAGAGCAAAGGAAGAGGCCTCCTTCGAAGCAACTGGCTCTCCCAAGGCTAATCTGGGTGTACAACTGGTCATTACCTTTATTGCCAGATGACAGAGGCCCTGCCTTGTGTCCTTGTTTACTGTCCCCGTGCTAATGAGTCATGGGCGGTGGAAATGGGAGGGCAGGCAACCGGGAAATACTTTAAGGAAATACTCATTTCATTTATTTATTTCGGCTTACATGACCAAAGGTCTCAAGCACATGTGTAAATTACAGTTTATGTTTAAAACATCAAAACAAAGTTAAAACAGTGAGCGTCTCCAAATCGGTAGGCTATCATCAGTATAAAACATTCCGAACATACTGTTTAAAATAGTTAAGATAAATAAATATAAGCTTTTCAATGGTATCCACTATTTACGCTTCAGTGCTATTACCATTGCTAAGTACCTTGCTACTGAAGCAGTCATTGCCGGGTTTGTATCTGTCAGCAAATAAGAAATCACCCAGGACTCAAGGGGAAGATATTTCGTTAAAATAGGTAGTATCCAATAAGCCCTAGGAGCTATCCAGTGGGAACAACTACGGAAATACTGTAAGAGTGTTAATGTTCTAAGCACGTTTGTATTAGGGTTGCCAAGTCTTACCTCATTGTGTAGCGGGGGACTCCCGGGGCGATCCTGGAGTGCGCGCGCTTTGCGCACGCGCGCCGCATCCACGTCACCAGGAAGTGACGTGACGCCGCCAGGCACGCTGGGGGCGGGGCCATGACTATCTAAGGGAAAACCATAGAGCTTTCCCTCGGATGACCGTGGCCCCGCCCCCAGCGTGCCTGGTGTGGTCGCGTCACTTCCTGGTGACGTGCACGTCGGGGTGGAGTTCCCCCCGGGGCCCGATCCGGGGGCGCCAGGGAACGGGCCTCTCGGGCGGGGGTTTCCCCACCCCCCGGGGGGACTTGGGATCCCTATATCAAAGTGAGGCAGAAGGGCCACTTTGCCTAACAGAAGACCATGACTCATACCCCGTGTGATTCCAACAAAATGACATTCCCATCAGATCTGCTCCTCATAACAAATGAGTTCAGCACCTCTGTTCTAAGCACTATACCACTAGCGAGAGTTATATATAGTGAAGAAGGAAAGGGGTGAAGTTAGTTGGGGACGGCGCTTACCTCCTAAGGGGAGGCCAACGCGGGGGTAGCCAAGTCCTCGGTAACCTGGAATATAGATATGGCATGAACTAAAGCAGAATAGGAACATCACACCAATTCCTTTCAGATAATTTTTTTTTAGTTAAATTTACTCCCCCCCCCAATTCCAGTTTTCAATTTGAATTGCACTAAAAAAAAAAACTCTTTAAAGTTTATGGACTAATTTAACATTGACAAAGAATTAAGTATAGCCAGAAGCCAGAAGTTTGCCTTGGCAAAGGTAAAAGGTAAAGGTTCCCTTGCTTGAAAGCCAGTTGAGTCCGACTCTAGGGCTGCGGTGCTCATCTCCGTTTCCAAGCCGAAGAGCCAGCGCTGTCCGAAGACATTTCCGTGGTCATGTGGCCGGCATGACTAAACACCAAGGCGCACGGAACGCTGTTACCTTCCCACCGAAGTGGTACCTATCTATCTACTTGCAATGTCTTGTTTTCGAACTGCTAGGTTGACAGGAGCTGGAACTAGAGACGGGAGCTCACTCCATCATGCGGCACCCGGGTCTCAAACTGCGTACCCAGCGACCTTCCATAGCCTGCAGTTCAGCATCTTAACCACTTGAGCCACCGCAGCTCCTGCCTTGGCAAGGCGGGATATAAATCAAAAGTAAGAAATGAATAAAATAAACGTCAATGAACCATGCAGACAAACTGATCAGAAGTGTGTGTGTGTGTGGGGGGGGAAACAGCAACAAAGGGCTTTCATGTTGAACATGAACTTGCCAAATTGAACACTCTCTGGGTTGGATCCCATGGATCCAAGTGGCCTTTCCCTCTGGCACAAGGAGTTCTTGGAAGAATCTTCCGTCAACAGAAGGCTTCTTCTGCTGGAGGAATGCTCCACCAATAGCAGAACGGATTCACGGGCTCCAACTTTATTTATTTCCAAGTACAAGGTCCCACCAAATCCATAAGATTGGTGGAAATGTCGGTGGAAATGTATTCCACCAAACGTTCCTGGGAAAGCTTTCTCAGTATTTGTGGGGTGTGTGTGAGAAATACAGCATTATAGGGATTTGCTGGAGCAGAGGCCCTTCTTGCCTACATTTCATGCAGATCTGCCAAAAACCATGGGAAAACAGCCCTCAGCATCCCTCCAGTACATTCACAGTTACCTGGCTTCTGCTTCCCAGCCTGTGGATAAGCACCTAATCCTGCAAGATGATAGAAACAGGGATGCATCACCTTTGTTTCAACCACATCTCAGACTGCTTTGCTCCCTATGCCCAGAGCTTACCTCTCCAGATGGCACAAAGCTCTGGTTGCAGACCACGACCTGCCCCTCTTTGCCTTCACTGCCCTTGCTACAGCAGGAGAGGGAGGCAGGGGCTATTAAAACCAGCCCTCCCATTTTCCACCATATTTCCCATTGCAGTAGACGAACATCAGTAGCAGAGAAAGGGGCTAAGAGACAGCCCTCCATTTGCCATCACTGCCCTTGCTACAGAAGACTGCCATCAATAACAGAATGTAGGGCTATGACAGTCAGCCCTCAATTTTCCATCACTGCCCCTCCTGTCAATGGATGGAAGTGCTTAAGATAGCCAGCCCTCCATTTTCCATCACTGCGTGCCCATCCTACTAATGGATGGAAGTGCTTAAGATAGCCACACCTCCATTTCCCATCACTGCCCCTCCTGCCAATGGATGGAAACGCTTAAGATAGCCAGCCCTCCATTTTCCATCACTGCCCCTCCTGCCAATGGATGGAAGTGCTTAAGATAGCCACACCTCCATTTTCCATCACTGCCCCTCCTGCCAATGGATGGATGTGCTTAAGATAGCCACACCTCCATTTTCCATCACTGCCCCTCCTGCCAATGGATGGAAGTGCTTAAGGTCGCCAGCCCTCCATTTTCCATCACTGCCCCTCCTGCCAATGAATGGAAGTGCTTAAGGTCGCCAGCCCTCCATTTTCCATCACAGCCCCTCCTGCCAATGGATGGAAATGCTTACGATAGCCAGCCCTCCATTTTCCATCACAGCCCCACCTGCCAATGGATGGAAATGCTTAAGATAGCCAGCCCTCCATTTTCCATCACTGCCCCTCCTGCCAATGGATGGATGTGCTTAAGATAGCCACACCTCCATTTTCCATCACTGCCCCTCCTGCCAATGGATGGAAGTGCTTAAGATAGCCACACCTCTATTTTCCATCACTGTCCCTGCTATAGAAGACCACCACCAATCCCAGAAGGAGGGACTAATATATTGTCTGCCTAAGTGCTGCACCTAAGGCTGAAGTACCTTATCTAAAATGGGGATGTGATACCTGTTAAGGCAGAGGGGAATCACGTTGAAAGGTGTCCCTTATAAGGATCCGTTGCTCTGAATCAACTCACCATGCTCACACTGGGAGATAGTAGGAAGAGTACAAATTCATATTAAAAAACAAAGGAAGAAAGAACGGTTCTCATACCTGGTCCATAACCAGCCGGGACACCATAGCCTGGGGGGTAGGAAGAGAGTGTCAACGAGAAAAGGCTCAGAGTGGATGGACAGGAGGTCATGGTGCAGAAAGAACAGCCTACCTTCCATTTCACCAGGGGTATTTTGGGGCAGGAACGCACAGGAATGGAGTTCCGGCTGGCTTCAGAGTTGGCCACGCCCACTACAGCCAAAAACTCTCTGTGCGTGGCTACAGAGGGAAGGCCTGGAGAGCGATCCCCCTGGCGACTGAGGTGAGCGGGCCAGGGGGCCCCTGGAAGGATCGGGGAGGCATTTAAATGCCTCCCCGTGCATTCCCTGGCCTTTCCAAGGGCCGGCTTGCCCAGGCTCCCCGCAGCCACGGGGCACCCAAGCAAGCCAAGGGAAGGCATGGGTTGTGACCCAAATGCTAATGAGTTTCTGCTGCTGGGTGTGGCCTATTATGCTAATGAGTTCCTGCTGGGCTTCTCCTACAAAAAAAGCCCTGCATTTCACAAGTGTAAACAGAAACATGGGGGAATTTCAGACAGGTGATATCTCCCGGTAGGGAACCGGTTCTCAAACGGGTTCTGGTCTATCATTTCAGACAGAACCCGTTTGAGAATCGGTTCCCTACCAGAATGTAACTGCCATTTCACACACAAAAGCTTTAGGAACCGGGACTGAAGCGGTTTACGTGTCAACCGCTTCCGAGTAGTCTTCAGTTCCCTCTCCCGGTTCCGATACGCTTCCCCCCCGCCTTTTTTCACCCGCGCGGGCGATCTTCGGCTTTTTTTTTTTTGAACGTTTGATTTATAGCGTTATATCGCTATAACGCTATAACGGAACCCTGACTTGTCTCTAGGCATGGAAGGGTTAGCAACATTGCTGTCACCAATCACTGATGCCCTGATGTCCCGCTGGAAGCCTGCAGTCCAATAGGGTACTTGTTTCCAGGGGGCAGATGTAGCCATCGCATGTATTCCAGTGGAGTCGAGGCATTCCAATGGGATTGCTATTGCAATCGTTTGGAGTTCGGTATAGCGATATAACAATATAACGAAAACGGAAGAATACCGGCTTGAAACCGGGAGAAACTGGGTAATGTGAAATTCCCCATGCTTATATGACCCTAATTCCCAGACCAAGGCCTTACAATGCTGAAAGTTTTACTTTGCTTGCTGATTTAGTCTGTAATAGTTTTTCCCCTACTGATACAAATGTGGGTGTTTGTTTTCTTTCTTTCTTTCTTTCTTTCTTTCTTTCTCTTTTCCTCCCTTTTGCCTTTTCTCTTTCTTTCTTTCTTTCTTTCTTTCTTTCGTATTGTGTGTGTGTGTGTGTGTGTGTGTATGCCTGTGAATCATGGCAACCTCTGGCGATTCCCACTGGAGCATGGAGGACGTTCAAAACAGTGGCTTGATAGCCTGCCTCTGCCTCTCAGCCCTGGTATTCTTTTGAGGTCCCCCATCCAAATGCTTGCCAGGGTCGGCCCTGCTGAGCTTCTGAGATCTGACAAGACTGGATTTGCCTGGGCTATCCAGGTCAGAGCTTTATTGTTTTTCTTAAGGACATACCAGAAAAGCGCAGTTGTCTAGAATATTTTCTCAGCTGTTCAAAATATGCTTCAGCAGCTCCTTGCCAGAAACACCAGGATGGGCATTGCACGGTGCTGTACTGTTCGTGCATGCACATGTGCCCCAAATGCCAGACGTACCCTTTTGCTAACTAGAGATTTAACTTCTGGAGACCCTAGAGAACATCAGTGCGAGTAACATGCACTAACAAAAGTTATATCAAGTCATCTCCCAACAGGAGAGTGATTTGCCAAGAAGAGAACTGTGTTCTAGCACCCAGATGGAAGATCCCATCCTGGTAGTACTGGCCGTGCTCACCTGGTCTGCCGACAAAGCTGGGTCCAGCTCCAAATCCATTCTGGGCTCCTGAAACATCGGAAACAAGAAGGGTTAAATGCCGGAGATGGTGCTGCACCCGTGAGAGCCCTTTTCTTCCAATCATGTTCTTCCCACTGCAGAAGTTGGTTACGATTGGCAGGGGAGGCCCAATGTGCCTAGGATGGGTTGACTGAGAGACTCGTCTGCAATCCCTATGATGGTATCCACCTTCTGGAACATCCTCCTGAAGGAGGTTCATTGGAGGCCTGGTCTATCGAAAAGAGATGGTAGAATCCTTCGTACTGCTTCAGTATGCAGCTGAGGGAAGGCCATTTTGGAATACTTCCCCATGTTTGTTTGTTTTTTAAACTGCTTGCAAGTAACCCCCCCTCCCCAGCAACTACCAGAGTAGGGAGTAGGGCTGTCAGCTCTGGCTTGGTAGATGCCCCTGCAGTGACATCACTCTATGGAACAGAGTCTTCCTTCCAAAGTGGCCCAAAGAGAGCCAGTTTGGTGTAGTGGTTAAGTGCGCGGACTCTAATCTGGGAGAACCGGGTTCGATCCCCCACTCCTCCACTTGCACCTGGCTGGATGACCTTGGGCAAGCCATAACTCTGGCACAGCTGTTCTTGAAAAAGAGCAGTTTCTGTCAAGAGTTCTCTCAGCCCCACCTACCTCACAGGGTGTCTGTTGTGGGGAGGGGAAGGGAAAGGAGTTTGTAAGCCGCTCTGAGACACCTTTGGGTAGTGAAGGGTGTGGTATAAATCCAATCTCTTCTTCTTCTTCTTTCCTTTGCAGTGTGGAGGTCAGCTGTCATTCCAGGAAAACTCCACACCCCTTCTGAGGCTGGTGACCTTAGCAGGGAGAAAGATCCTAGTCCAGCCATCTCCCCATGGCTCTTGACTTCTGTTTATGAAGGTGAAGGTTTCCTTGCTCGAAAGCCAGTCGAATCCAACTCTAGGATTGCGGTGCTCATCTCCGTTTCCAAGCCGAAGAGCCAGCGCTGTCCGAAGATGTTTCCGTAGTCATGTGGCCAGCATGACTAAACGCCGAGACGCACAGAACGCTGTGACCTTCGCACTGAAGCGGTACTTATTTATCTACTTGCAATTTCTTGCTTTTGAACTGCTAGGTTGGCAGGAGCTGGGACCAGAGACGGGAGCTCACTCCATCCCGGGGCACTCGCGGAGTTCTTTATGCAGAGAATCATTCAGAACTGTCATCCCCTACCTGCTAGGGTTGCCAGCCTCCAGGTAGGGCCTGGGGATCTCCCGCTTTTGCAACTGATCTCCAGCTGACAGAGATCAGCTCCCCTGGAGAAAATGGCTGCTTTGGAGGGTGGACTCTATGGCATTGTACCACGCTGAGGGCCCTCCCCTCCCCAAACCCCGCCCTCTCCTGGCTCCACCCCCAAAGGCTCCAGGTATTTTCCAACCCTGACCTGGCAACCCTACTACCGACACATCTCCAGAACAGCACTTCATTCTGCCGCTAGGCCTCTTTTGCAGGTCTTTTAGGGGTCAAATGAAAGCATCTCTGTTTAGTTCAGCTTTCTGCGTAGGTACAGATACTGTATATATATATTTTTTAATTCTGTTTTACACTCTGTGGCATTTTATTCCAGCGTCTGTGGCAGACTTACCCAGTCCCGTGGGGAGTCCTGGGGTGCCATAACCAGGATATTTCCCTGCAAGGGTGAAGAAGACAGTGGCATCAGAGAAGGGAAATGAACATGAAAGGAATGATTATGGAATGAGTTACGCTGCAAATCACAACGTACTGTCTCTTATGTACCAGGCACTGTATGTTGAAGGGCCCTGACTTGGATAGCCCAGGCTGGCCCGATCTCGTCAGATCTCTGAAGCTAAGCAGGGTCAGCCCAGGCTAGTATTTGGATGGGAGACCGATGTGGAAGACCAGGATTGCTACGCAGAGCCAGGCAATGGCCAACCACCTCTGACTGTCCTTTGCCCTGAAAACCGCACGGGGCCGCCTTAAGTCAGCTGGGAGATGACAGTACTTCCCACCACCATGTGTAAGAGGGATTATTAGGAAAGGGCCTGAAAATGAAGACCGCTCCCCGTCTGCCATTGCTGCACCAAGCATACACCTTAACGGAAGGACATTTTCCCATATCCACTCCACATCCATGGAACACGTCTGCTTTGAGAGGCTTCGGAACCCTAGGTTAAGAAGCATTTCAGAAGCAGAGTCGACAGACTGAGATAGTCATTTATACCTTTTAGCTGTTGTAAATAAGGGGGCAAAAGGTATACCGGTGCTCTCATTTTAAGTTTGATAAAATAAAGTACTTCATAACAGGTAGCAAAAAGCAGATGGCTTTAAAAAAACAACAACTTATTGTTTGTCTCTGGAATGCAGAGACAACCCAAAGATCTTTGTATCGTTTACCTGCTTTGGCTCCAGCTGGTCCCAATCCGGCTCCGGGCTGCACGCCTCCTACACCTGAGGAGTGGGACAGAGAACACAAAGGCTGAACTCCCCTTTGGATCAATAGGGGTCTGATTGGTGTTCAGACTGGGAGCCTGATCGCCCTGGATGGGATCCAGCCAGCTTTTCTCCTGGTGACAAAGGGAGGAGGAGGAGGAGGAGGAGATCTCCTTTGATCTCTCAAACAAGCTATGCTGAGGATCAGGGGACATGCATGGATAAAAGCCATGTGGAAGGGGCAAGAATGAGAGGAAAAGATGGCTGGATCCCACCCACCGGCCCCAACCCTTTTTTGAGGACTCCCTCAGCTACTGCTATACTACAAGGGAGGGGACGGACGGACATGGGCCAAACACGGGAGGGATGAGGGCCACAGGGAAGGCCCGGCTGAGGCTGCAAGCCCGTTTCTATGAGACAGTCCATTTATATCATGACAGAAATAGAACAGAAACATTTCTTTCATGGGTCATGAGATTGGAGATATAGGATGAGTGTGTGTGTGTGTGTGTGTGTGTGTGTGTGTGTGTGTGTGAGAGAGAGAGAGAGAGAGAGAGAGAGAGAGAGAGAGAGAGAGAGAGAGAGTGTTACAAGTTTGTACCAGATCAAGAAAAATGCTGAGCCTCTTGAAGGGCATGCTTTGGCCTGGAGATCTCCTAGAATTACAACTGACGAGACCAGCTCCCCTGGAGAAAATGGCTGCTTTGAAGGGTGGACTCTATGGAATTATGCCCTGCCGAGGTCCCTCCTCTCCCCAAAACCTGTCCTCCCCATAGTCAGAACCCACAGCTTACAACGAAGTACACGCATTCAGGAATGGTTATACGTTTATTGCAAAGCTATAGGTGCAGTAACACAGGCACTGTTAAGAATGGCGGCAACCCATTGAGCATAATAGGATATAGGGCATTCATATGCACCACCACCCCATGGCATGGGCCAATTAGCTACCCTCCCGCACACGGGACCAGCTAGGAAACCGTTAGGTGGCGAAAGGTGGGAAGCAGTAGTCTCTCACGGTACGTAGGAGACTTCCAGACAATACAACTTCCAACATAACATCCTCCTGCACAGCTGTAGAGATAAGCATTGCGGCACAGGGAGAGCAGCAAAGACAGGAATGCAATAGCAATTACCGAGACACAGAATGAATTCCCCAACCCCCATGGCAGCATAGCTGACACCCATTCTCTACCCCCAAATCTCCAGGAATCCCCCAACCCAGAGTTGGCAACCCTACATATATTTCTAAGAGTTGGCCCAGTGGAGTTATAGGGGTCAAAATGAGGCAAGCCTCTTAAAAAGAAAGAAAGAAGGGAACTGGTGTGTGATCTATTACAGAGAGTTACCACTGGGCTTACCACGATCTCTTCCAGAGATACAAACCCACCATTGTGTCTGTGCACAACAAATTAATTCCATGTAAATCTATGCAGATTTAAAGCTACCTGTTCGGTGATGTTAAGGTGGATTTGGAAGAGAGAAGAAAAGGGCTTCTTCCCGTTGATCTGGAAGCAATACCAACGCGTGTGTCCAACACGTACACAGCAAAAGATACTTACCCCTCATCAGTGATGGGAAGTAAGGGCTCCCCCGGCCATTTCCTTGCGGCTTTACTGCTGCAGTGTATCCAAAACAAAAAGGGTAGTGAGTCACATACAAGACCCCGGAAAATTTTGCTGATCTCTAAGGATTTGAATTTGAGTCTCCCAGGTTAGGTTTACCATTCCACAGGTCCGGGTGGCGGATTCCCTGCTTTCCCGTGCTCCTTTCCACTGCGGGCCAGCTGGCCAGCAGGAGGAAATTCCCCTCAAACAGTGACGTCATGCACAATGCACTGATGTCACTTCTGGAAGTGATGTCAGCACGTCAGGGGCGACACTGTTTTGTTTTGGGCAAAATTCTATGGTAAAATCAGCCTTCAAACCATAGAGTTTTGCCCAAAAAGCAGAGTGTCTCCCTTGACATCACTGATGTGCTGATGTCAGCAAGTCATGTGACATCCCCACCCACTGCAGGAACGGCCTCTAAATCCCCCCACCAGCACGAAGGAACAACCTGGCAACCGTATCCCAGCTCTTGGTCCAAAACACTAACCCAGGGGTCCCCAACATGGTGAATGGTGCCCACCAGGTGTTTTTAGAAAGTGGGTGGGACCAGGTGGGGCTTTTGCCCAGCAAGGCTTTTGATTGGCTATTAGAGATTTGATTGGCTGTTGCTTTGGCAGCCGCTGTCACCATGGCATAAGGATCTTCACTGTGTGACTGAAGGTAAGCAGTGGCAGCCATTTTGTAGCTGGCTCCACCTCCTCCTGCAGCCATTTGAGGACTCCTGCCCACGACTCCATTTTGGCTGCTGAGATGCTGTGGACAGGAAATGGGAGAAAGGAGCCCTTTTATGTTATTTTTCAAGGACCCGGAGTTGAGAGATAATTGATTCTTACGCTGGCGATCAGCTCTGCTCTATTTACGTTATTTATTTGCAAGCGTTCGTGGGCAATGGCTCCACAAATAAAGAACCAGAGCACGTTTGAAGGTGCCTCAAGAATCTTTTGTTGATCTGGTTGCCAAGAGTGTGGCTCTCAATTGGGCATCTGGTGGAAAACTTCCACCAAGCCAGGTCTGGGGCTTTCCACAAAGCTCCTTTCACAGCCGGGGGCCTCTGATGCCAGGGGATTATTTAACAACAGTGGGGAAGCATTCAGGCCTGTGGTTCCCCTAGGACCCCACCCTGTCTCCTGGCTCGGGGACCTGGCCCTGCCTGCCTGCCTGCCTGCCTTCATGGCTTTGCAGGGGGGTGTCAGTCCACCCCCTCCCCAAATGAGGCCACTGAGGAGGCTTTTGTATTCAGGGCTGGCAAGGGCACAGAAGGAATGTGGCATCTTTGTGCCAGAGATGTGACGCAAGACCTGGCGGGCGCAGGTACCCCTCAGCTCTCCTCATGTCGGGACATTCTGTCAGACGAGAAGCCAAGGAAGGCTGAGGGGGGATTACTAGTGGCAGGCTGGGATGAAGGCAAGGCCTCAAGCCTCTTTATAACAATTTCCCCACAGCCTTCCTTTCTGAAGCTCAGGGTGACGTACAGAGTTCTCTTCTCCTCCGTTTTATCTTCACAACAAACCTGTAGGGTAGGTCAGGTGGAAAGAAAGGAGCAGGCCCAAGGACACTCAATGAGCCTCATGGCAGAGTAGGGATTTAAACGCAGGTCTCTGTAGCCCCCACTCTAACCACAAGGGCTTTCTCTGCCTGAAGCCTCCTCTTTCTCAGTTCAACACAGGTTCTCCTACCCTTCAAAGCAGAAGGGTACCCCACACAAGAGCACACAACTGTAATCAGTTTTAATTAAACCAGAGTTACTGGCTACTGTTAGTTCTGGACTCAGATTCAGGCCTCGAGTCCTTGCATGCATAAGAACCTAACAATTTCCTTCCTGAAACAGATGGACCATCCATCAAATCCTGTGTTCTCTTTCCAACATTGGCTAGCCAGCTAGGTGTGGTGGCAGTGGCCCCCTCTTGTTTGGCCTTAGCAACATGTATTCAGAGGTATACTGCTTCTAAACATGGAGGTTCTATTCAAGCTATCATAGGTGATAGCCCGGATTCCCATTCATTTGCACACACCTTTTGAAAATGTCAGCAAACTCCTAGGGCTCTCAATATACCTTGTTGCAACAAAACCTGCAACAATGGATATGGGAGTTAGTTTTGTTTAGCAGTTACGGCATTAGATTCGGACCCGGAAGATCTGAATTCAAATCTCAGTTCTGGTCACAGGTGACCTTATCTGTTGTGAAGATAAACTAGGAAGAAGAAGAAGAGATTGGATTTATACCCCGCCCTTCACTACCCAGAGGAGTCTCAGAGCGGCTTACAAACTCCTTTCCCTTCCCTCTCCACAACAGACACCCTGTGAAGTAGGTGGGACTGAGAGAGCTCTGACAGAAACTGCTCTTTTTCAAGAACAGCTCTGACAGAACTATGGCTTGCCCAAGGTCATCCAGCAGGTGCAAGTGGAGGAGTGGGGAATCAAACCCGGCTCTCCCAGATTAGAGTCCGCACACTTAACCACTACACCAAACTGAGAAGGAAGAGCCACACACACCAAGCTTCTTGGGAGATGAGAAGAATAAAAATGTGATCGTCCCTACACAAGCCATGCAGATATATTTGCTTTTACCTGTTTACTGCCGATTGATTTCAGAGCATGATCTCTCTTCCTCTGTCTTCTCCAGTCACAGGGCTATT